TCGAAAACTGGGGGGGTCAAAACGTAATTTAGGAAAGTTGTGCCACGTCAGCAGCCATATCAGCAGCCCCGGCCAACCAGAACACGTCGCGTGGCAAGGAAGCTGACGCGGAAGATCACGCGGGACGGAGCCACGTGAGCAATCCGCGTGCACGCAATAGAACGGTCCAGATCTCACGCGTGCGGACGGCCCAAATTAAATCACGCACGGACGACCCAGATCGCATCGCGATGGACGGTCCAGATTAAATCGTGATGGACGGCTGAGATTAAAATGGGAAGGTTATAAATAACCTCACCCACACCCGACCCCAAACCCTAGCCGCCAGTGCCCTCGCTGGAGAAGAAGAACCAGTTGCCGGAGGAGCCGGCCGCCGCCACCCGCTGCCGCAACGGAGGGTTTTCCGACCGCCAAACGAGGTAAATTTTCTCCCTTTAGCTCGTTTTTCGATGCTGAATCCACCTATGGCCAAAACGGAGCCGAACCACAAGCCAATCGGCCGAAAAACATCGTCGAAGTCCAGCGGTGCCGATGCGGCTTTCCTCGATTTTTGCCTCCGATGAGGCCCTTTCCGGTTCCCGTTCGATGCAATTTTTACACCACTGTGATCACTGTCCTATTCTCTACAGGTTGACCGGAGCAAAACATCAAACCGCGACTCACGCCGGAGAAGCCACCGCACCCGAGAGCTCCGCCGCCGGTAAGTCTCGGTTTTTTGTGATTTTTTGGCCCACCGAGGGCCCTAGGGTTGTTTTATCGCAGGAACCAATGTAAGTTTGGCCAAATTCGGTCGAAAACGGCCTACCTGAGGCGGATTGCCGCCGCAGGCGGAGGTGTCGTCGCCGGAGCACGGCGGAACTGCCGTACTGGAATTCTAATATTGGCCCTAGGTCTAATTTGGGATTTTTTGGGACACGTGCAGGTACCAGTAGTGCGTTTCAGTTTCCCGGAGAAAATTCAGGGAATTTAGGGACAGCCCGTAAGTGCACTGTAGAGCCGATTTTAAACCCCGAAACAAGTAAGGATTTCTCATCCTATTTTCTATCACAGTATTAAAGCCTAATAAATGATAAAACGATATTTTATGACTTTATAGATATGTATAATTGATTGAGATTGCCAATGGAGCCCGAATATGATATATTGTTGGTCAGTTATTGTTTGATCTATTTTTCAGTATTAAATGCAGTATGGAATTTAATGTATTTATTTTATGGTTTTGTATGCATGAGTCATGGTTTCTTATACTATGGCTTGAATTATGGTGAACCCGATATTGTGTTGTTTTGTTTGGTATTATTATTAGTTTACGTGTTTGTGTATGATTGGATGATTGAGACCAAGTAAAATGTAAAAAAAATGTTATGTGGATTGATAAATGGATAATGTGGATAGCCTGACTAGATATCCTGGGAGATGGTGGACGGACCGGATCCGTAGGGAACCCTACCGGGAACGTGGTCTCTCATATCGGACGGGGTATGAAGACCTTATGTGTTTGGCACCCATACCGGACGGGATATGGGCACTAAACACATAAGGCGAACGGGGTATGGGGACGACCCGTTTCACCCTTATATCGGACGGAGTATTGAGGTTTATGGTTTTGGTGCCCATACCGGACGAGATATGGGGACGGCCCTGAAATCAGGTTATTAATGTTAATGGTTCACGTGTAGCGGGGACCCCCTATGGATCCCCATGGATACTAGTAGGCTGGTAAAAGAGAAAATTTGTTGTCTGATTATTGAAGTGCAAAAGTATAACATGTGCTATGTTACAAAGTGTATATGATTTTATGATGGTTATAATGCTATTGTTTTCACATGTTATTTTCACAAATCTCATCGAGGTAAGTGGACAGTAAATGTTTTTATTATTAATAAATGAATTTGTTATAAATTATGCTCTATTGGTCATTTTTGTTTTCTACCAACCTTTACTTCTGTGGCAGTGAGATAGTGTGATATCTTTACTGGGGTAGTGTAACTCATTCCTTACTTAATCATTTCAAATCAGGAAGACGTGGTTCCCGAGCCCGTTCCACAGAAAGACGGCAAGTTAGACGCCTAAAGACTTTATAGGTCTATTTATAGTTTTTCTTTCGAGTATTTCTTTTAATTAGCTTATTCTTTCATATGTTGAATACGTTTATGACTATTGTGTAATGGATGTTAATCAAAATTTTTATTTCGCTTCCGCATTTAAGATTTTTAATACATACATCCTCACTTAAATTTTCGAGACCGTTACGTATACTTTGTTGTTCTATACATATTGTATAATATATATATATAAGGGGACTGTTCTAGGCTAGGCATACATAAGAAAAGCAAACTTAAAATCTAGAAAGCCTGTAATTTTCATTTGGTCCAGAAAGCCAAATACAAAACGTGACATTATGGTTTTATTGTTGTGAAATTAAGCATCACTCAGTATTATTTATTTGTTTTGCATTATAATTGTGCCTTAAATATTTGACCCATTTGAAAATTTTAATCAATAAGCAATCATATACATATTATGCATATATATATATACATATAATATATTGAGATTTATGATTGATTACCCATATGGATACAACATAATTCTCAATGATTTATGATTTGGAAAGTAAATAATTTTCTACTTGTGAATTTGCAGAGAGAAAATTGTGTACGATTGGAGTGCTTGAATTGGGGTAACATTGAGAATGATGTTGTTCATTCTTGATTATTTTCTGCATGAAAATGGGTTTCGTCTGACATTAATCGAACCCAAAAAAGCTAAACACTTTTTAATTAATGCTAATCTTAAGTCATTTTCAACAACCTTCATTTCTTATATTTATACACTTCCTACCAAAAAACAAAAATTTTCTAAATTTGAATCTTTCTTGAAAATTTTAGAAAGGTTACTTCATTAAGAAGAAGTGAAAACTATTATAATTAAATTAAAATTTACTTAAATTTTTTATATGTAAACATAATATCTATTTAAATATATTCGAATGATTATTTTCTATAATTAAAATTTATATAATATTATTTTAATTTTATCTTATGTAAAATAAATTTACGATTATAGAATCGACTGATTATTATATTATAAATTAAAATTTATAATCTTAATCTAAGAAATTTTAAAATAAAAAAAATAGATTCTAAAAGTTAACGAGAAATCAACAAAAAGTATCGCGAGCAATCACGATAATCGAGTTTATTGATTTTTTTTAATTTTTTAAATAATTTGATTTTAATCGAGATTTAATTTTAATAGATAAAAATTATTTTATAAAATACTATATATTAGATAAAAATTAAATTTTAATGATGAAAATTTGTAAAATAATTACTTTATGCCGATTTTAGATATATATATATATATATATAAAGTTGTATTGCTTTTTTTTTTTGGTGTTTTAACAGGTAATAGGAAAAGTTTGGAAGTATAAAATATATTTTTTTCTTATTTTGAGAAAAAAGTAGAAAAAGTTTTTTAAGATGAGAAATAATTTTTTTTTTAAAAAAATACTGCCTAAAACTTGTAAAACAATCAATTTCTTTCTTCATATATATAATTATTATTCTTAAATGAGAGATTAATTAGTAGTTTATAAATATAATCATACATAAATAAATAAATGAAGAATGAATGCGTACGATAAGGATCAAAATGGTACAAAATATTGTAAATAAAGGATGAAGCGCATGCTAGCGGAAGCCAGTGAAGAGAAAGTTGTCTTTTTTAAGAGAAAAAAGAAAAAGCGCACCTTTCTACGTAACACACTTTTTTTCACATAAAATCTGCTGACGGATATCCAAACCAACCCAGTGAGAGGTCTTCTACAAAAAGAGAACAAAACCCCAAAACACGGAGAGGGGGAGAGAGAGAGAGAGAGAGAGAGAGAGAGAGAGAGAGAGAGAGAGAGCCAAAAACCAGTGGAAAAGATCTTTTCTCAAATCTCTCTCTCTCTAGGTTTCTCTCTTCTATCTCTATCTCTCTATCTATCTTCTGCATCTTCCTCTTAGATTGCCTACGCGTCTATTCGTGTTTCTCTTATAGGGACTTCGGTGTGTTTACAGATCTTGGCGGAA